AAAGAAGATCATTTAATTTCTTGTCTGAATATCATACTTCTACTGTTTCTTTCACTTAACTTGTGAAATATATTTAGTTTTAACAAAATATTATGAGGATTGGAAAGCCAAAGAAAAAGAAAACAAACACACTTTTCCATGGGAAAAACAAACATGCTTTTCCATGGACTGTGTTAAATCCCCACTGTATGACACTAAATTTTAAAGTAGAACCACCTGCTAAGGGCCTGTGAGCTAATTCAGATACTGATTAGCTGGTCAGCAAGTCAATACATGGGCACCACTAGCCACTTGTCCTATTTACTCTTGGCCCATGGCCTACCCCTTTTTTCACCTGTCCCTGAATCTCTTAGACCAGAGGACAAGGATTTTGTTGTGCACAGCTGGGAGTGAGGTTTGGGGTGAAGGAGGAAGACACAGCGGTCTGCCGCGGGTGCCACAGGATATGCAAATAGGGATGCACTGATGTAAGGAAATAGGGAGGAAAAAAACAATTTGTGCATCTCTTCCCTAGAAACATCCAGTTCTCATCTGTCCATGTGCAGTTTAATCAGATTGAAGATTAATGGTAGCTAGTGTTGGAACAAGAGTTACAAGTTGGACACGTCACTGACTGATAAACACTCCTGAGTTGCTTCCAGCATCATTCTGTTTGGCAGCATCATATCTAGCAAGCCTTAAGAGACATGAGATGATTTCCTGTAGACCTTCTCCATATGTCTGTGCTGTATGCCCTTGTGTTCTCCATGTAGTGCTGGACCCAAGCTGTCTTGAGCATAAAGAGCTCGTGCATCATTTCCTCAGGGGTCAATTTGGACAAAATGATGGTGAGCACACACTTGCAACTCTGGTAGACACAGCAAGACTAGTGTCTCAGTACTGGGCTTCCAAGTATATAATGCAGTAGCCATATAATCAGATTTTTCCATCCTGAACAGTTACCTCATAACCGCCTGTCTTTCCTCTCCTACCTCATGCAACACCTCATTATTTGCAAATGAGAAATTCCTGGGGTGCATTTCATTCCCAAGAAAAGCCAGTGCCCATGAATAATTAAATATTTCTGTATATGTGCCAGGCTAATTCACATTCCCCCACACTGGGTTTTAGCCCTGAAATGGAGCAAGCCCTAGAACAAAGTGGATTCCTTGTGCAGCTTTTCAGCTCTTCTTGTCCTGACCCCTGGAATTGCTCAGTTACTAAAGGGCTCTGCTGCAGATGTTTCACTGTGGGCCAGATGTCAAATGCTCTCTGTAAACTTTCTGGAGAATTCATTCTTCCCATTTCTCCTTTCCATGTTCTACCATTTTCTTACTTTCCTGCTCTAATAAAAAGATATGTTTTTTTTTCCCTTCATGATTTTCACTTCCTGTTGTCTTATGCTCAGCAGATTTGATTCATCTTGCCAATCTATATTTTGAACTCCAGCTAAACTCCTTGTCTGTTTTCTTCTCTAATTAGATTCTATTCGTTACCTCTAGCTTCATTCTTAGAGGGTAGAGGTGAGCTCGTATTTCACTTGATGTAACTGGCACTACACAATTTTCTCCTCAAAATTCCATTCTGGGAACTTTTATAACTTAGAGTTAATCAAAATGGACAGTCCCCTTTGATCCCATGGAAAACACAGATATGATGAAAGCCATGAAAACCATGGAAGCTTTTCCCTCTTTCTATTCCCCCCTCCTTCCTTTTTAGTCTCAAAGGCTCCCTCACTGTCATCACTTTCTGATCCTAACACTCTCCCTTAACTTTCATCTTTCTTTTCACATTTCCTAATTCAAATCCATTTCCTAGAGATTTGTTTTATTGTATAAGGATGAAGGAGTTTTATCTGCAAACACATAAGACATAAAAAATTGTCAGTAATAGCACAAATAGATCACCAGACATACTATGAAATGTCTGAAATATATTTCCACACAAGACTTGGAAAAGACAAGACTTTCACAACTTTAGATGACTTGTTTAAGACCTTTTTTGCCAATACCTATTATTATTCCACACTCCAGAAACTCCACATTTGCTGCTGCCACACAGTTAATGATGAAACACCTGAAAAGGTGCTACTTTTAGCATCCTGTTGCAAAGTATTCTTAAAATGATGACAGTGTTCTGGATGCACCAGGGATACAGGCCAAGAACTTGGTCCCCTTTGCCATCCCTTGTCTCCCCCACTAACCGCAGTCTGAGATAACAGACTGGCTAGGGTTGTCTGAGGTAACAGACAGGCCAGAGTGGCTAGGGAGAATGGACACCTGGGACTGGTCCACTTTTGAATCCATTTCACTGTGTCTTAAAGCCTGTATAGCCATTTGAATAGCAATTTTATAACAGCTGTAACTCTGCAGACCTTATCTGAATCCTATTGAGTAGAAATCGGACACAAAGCAACAGGAACACTGTTAATGTACAATGACAAGGTAGCAAATTACTTGTTAATCCTAAATAGTTCCAGTACTGTTCCCATGCTGGGGCTGTGCCCTGTGATCAGAGGGGGTGCTGACACTAGCTTTGCTGGATCCCTTGGGCTTTCCCATACCTTAGCCCTCAATGGATTGGTAACATCTCATTGTTATCATGTTTTTCACTTGATTTTCTTTGAAACTTTGAGGACTAAAATAAGAAAGGTTACTAATTCATACAAAGAAATCTAGTCTGAATAACTCTCTTTTTTTTTTTTTTTTCTTTTTTGGTGAAAGGCGTATTGTACACATCCCAGATCATATTGTGTGAAACCATTGTTTCTCACTGGGCTTTAACCTCTCACAGTTACCTTTCCTTCCAGTGGAATTCCTGCTAACTTTCAGTAGTTGTCAAATTGGAAAAAAACAGAGTGATCTCCACTTAAGTTGACACCTACTAACTAAAAGCAAACTGTAGAAGTGGTAGAAATGCAAAATACTACCCTTGTTCAAATCTATGAGATTGTAGAATTGCAGGGTGAGGGAGAAAGGATGCCTTGAAGAATGGATAAAGAACTGGTCTGAGGAAACATCATGAAGAGAAACAAGTACTGAATGTTTAAATTAATGTTTAAATAGTTGATTCCCAAACTATATTTGCTCTATCAAAATGCTAATGCAGCACCTTCATGAAGCAGGGAGTAGAAGCCATCAGCTGCTATGAAGAGAATCGACTTGCAGAAGAAAACTTACTAAAATGAATTGCTAATTAGAAGCTCTCTTTTCTAGCCTGGAAGTTTAAAAGACGTGTTAAAACATTCCTATTTTGTGGAGGGAGTCCAGTACTTACATTCTCTGGTTCTGAATTTTGCCATTTCTTTCCCTCACTGCTTGGGAACCAGTAGAAGAAAAGTATTCTTTTCCTCTCACTATAGGTGAGACAGAATTCCCATATTCAGGTGCAGAACCTTGTTCCACCTTGATCTTCAGCAGCCAGTACCAGGGAAAAATCCTTCTTAGAGCTTTGATTCAAAATTATGCGGTTCAGATACTGCAATGAGCATGAGACATGCTGAGTTTTGTCAGCTGCATAAGGTTGCAAAGATGCTGCTCTGCTTTACAGGGAAGGTCTACAACATGTTCCAGATGCCTCTAAGGACCCAAGAAAAGCTAGAAAAACTGGTTGCCCTTAGGATCAAGCACAGACTGTTTGAGCTGTTACAGGTCTCGCTGTGCTCAGGCAGGGCAAGTTCCTCAAAGGCCAGCTGAAGTTTAGGCAAGAACTTTCTTCTGAGCTTTTCTGAACGTCATTAAAGATTAACATCCAGATCAGATCTTTGCAGAGGTCCACAGCAAGAGCCAAGATGAGGGATATCTCTCCCACAGAAAATACCTACAGCTAATATGGCATTGTGAAGTGCCCTGAGCTTTGAGGACCACTCCCACAAGAAAGTCTGCAAGTTTGTAAACATTGCTTCACTTTTCACTCCAGAGCAGATCTGCATGGCCTGAACAGGAACTTCTTGCAATCACTTTCCCACATTCAGGTTAGTCAGGTAAATACTGGTTCCAATTTGTCTCCTTACAGCAGTGGATAAGCAGATAAGGAATCATCAGTGATTACTAATACTTCCAACATTATCAGAAAATCTGATACTTGCAGGTAACTAAAAGACATCACTCAGTGATGCAACTTGAGAAATTATGGCTATGGATCAGCCTCTTGTTTCTTCAGCTGTCACCTCACAGCCTAATCATGGCTCCTCTCAAACCAGGACCAGACCTCACAAAAAACAGCTGTGGGAGGCATTGGAAATCTGTGCAATTTACAGGCAGCTGTAAGATGTAACTTTATTTTATATTAAAAAAAAAAGCGTAGAGCCTAGTAATAACACACATACAAACATGAACTGTTTGTTTTATTACAATTATTAATTCAGTTATTCTTACTAGATTAAAAAGAAAGCAGGATGCTCAAGCTGGCATATTATGGGTTAATAAGATTCAGTTGCAAAAAAAGCATAATGCCTAACAGAATATACAGAGCGTGGAGACACTACACTTTAAAAATAATTAAGCTACTTTTGTTTTAAGCCCTGCTATACCTCCTCCATTTTTATCAATGTTTACTATATATCTAAGTCAATTTTCAATGAAGTCAGAGGGAAGAAATATCTTTTGACTTGAATTACATTTGGATCAGAGCTTAGTTCTGGGAGAAATCTTTCTACCAAGAAGTAGCTTGAACTTAAAGATTTTTCAACAATTTCCAGATATCAAATACTCCTAAAGACTGAAAAGCTCAATAATAAAAGGGCAAATAGCATATTTCCTTAAAATGGTATATTGTGAAGCAGATCTGTTAGATTCATCTGTAGGTGATTAATTATAATATTATCCAGTACATGAACACCTTCTCACTATGCCAAAGGTTTTACATTTAAAATTAAAACCTAATATACACATCTGTCACTAAAAAGGCATTGTAGTCTGAATAAAATTTATCTACAGCATCCACTTGTCTCCTGCATGTCATGCGACTGCACTCTTGATCAGAATTCAGGAAATGTTTGTTTCAAAAGTACAAGCCCTTTATCCTTCAGGCTTTGCAACACACATTATATTTTAACCTTTTTCCAAGAGGGATTCCTCCTAAGTGTTCCTTGTACATTTTGTCCATTTCCAAATTATGCTTTTCCGCAAAAAGATTCCTCCAGTCGCTAACACCACCTAAAAACAAGCAGTATTAATACTATATTGGTACTATAGTCCACAGGTTTTAGTAGTTGTTGCGCTTATTTTCTCAGAATGAGTCACATATCCTTTCGTATGTTTTTGTGTTTAGCAAATTGCTTTTTCTTACTTTTTAATTATTATTGGTTTTGATTACTTTTCAAATTTGAGTGGTTCTGCTACTCTGCAGGACCCACTAAGTAATATACAAGGTTTCCCAATTTTCTCTTTGGTTTACCCAGCCTTAGGGCAAGAATGAGAGAATAGACACAGTATTTCATAGGTTGCAATATGTTATAAAGTTAGCTGGCCTGATTTTTGCTCATGTTAATTCATCAGCTGGACAGTTATTACAGTGCAAGACCTCTTGTTAGGTTTTTCCTTAGTTATTCCTACCATGAAGGATGGAGTTCCTTCAGTAGAGGATGACACCACCAGTCAGGAGGAAAAGGTTTTCTGAGAGGCTCACAGTCTGAAGAAAAACCGAATATTTATTTCCTAGAAAGCTGGTGACTCCTCAAAAACCTCCAATAGATTTTTTCAAAAAAGTTAATATGTCCTTGAAATAAGGACTTAGTGGTCCTAGTGCATTTTATTCACTGAGCTAATGAAGAGAACTGATTTATCTGTCTTTCCATCCTGAGCCTGCTGAGAGTGTTATTTTGAGGAGCAGCACTACCCCATCACCCCAAATGAAAAGCAAGAAAATGCAGTGTGGTCTACTGCAGATCTGACAAGCTCTGTCATGCTAAATGTCACATAATTTCTGCCACTGCTGCCACAAGACTGTGTTTCTTTTCCTTTTAGGCACAGAGAAGGAAAGAACTCATTCCCATATCACCAACTCTCTGACTCCCCCCATCTCTGGTTACTTGACTTTGGTGAGTCAGACGCACGGTTATAAAAGAGGAAAGCTGCCCAAAAAGCTGTTTGCTAAGTCATTTGAAAGACTATTGTGAAGTAGCCTTTACAGTTAGGAAATTCTATTGAAATATTCATCATTGTACAATGTGAATATTCAGTTAAATTCACAATATTCAGTGTGAATATTCAGGAAATTTTTCTGTTATTACATTGGCCGATGAAGTTATAGTATACCTAACAACAAAAACGCTGAGAACCGTATCTTCAGAATGGGTAGAAAATTCACCTTTATGGAAGAGAACATCCCCAAATGCTCCATGGGTCTCCTTGGAGTTCTTCTTCATAGATTGAAAGCTACTCCTCTGCACAACAGCATGAATTTCTTCTTCATTCAAAGGGAACTCAAAAATTCAGCTATTTTTTCACTCTTAAATATGTATTCTATTAAGAAAAAAAAAGTAGCATACTGGATATTATCCAAGGAACCACAGTGGTTTCTCCTGTATCCTTCCCACTCTCTCATTATCTCCTTGGACTCTACATTGTTGTATACAAGTTATAGTATACCTAACAACAAAAACACTGAGAACCACTGAGTGATGCATAGAGGTATCTTGAGGATGAATTCAACTAATTATGAAAATCAGGATTTAAATAAAGTTATGTGAAAATGAGTAGAGTCCATTTACACACACAGTGATGAAGACATGCACAGAAGACTATGTGTGTCAATCCAACCTGGAGTTAACTGAAAATTATATTAAGGCATTTTAGGTTCATATTATAAATGGCAAGAAAATAAGAGGGGAGGAGAATTATTTATATTTTTTTAAAGTGACCTCTTTATGTTATTGAAATGTCAGCATGTCAGCAAAAAAACTTTAGGAAATACATTTCTGAGAAAGGAGAGCACTGGAACATTGTCTCATGCAGAAAAGCTGTGTGTAACCCTGTGGATAGACAGTTATTTTATTTTAGAGTAATTCCTCCCCTCAGGTCCCTTTGCCCCTTATAAAACCCATGACCCAATATGTGTGGACATGCTTTGTATATAGCCAAAAGTGCATCTAATATATGACCCCTTGATATTCAGGCATCATCAATTTCTGCTTTCTGAACCAAGTAGGCAAACAGGCACGATTCTATGAAGTAATTACATCCCAAGCCCAAAGGTGTAGGGTCTCAAAAAGAACAGCTGGGCTAGTCTAAAAATCATATAAAATGTCATGGTTAACAAATTCAACCTGCTCTGAAACAGTGCTAATGTTGTATTCATATAAGCTTTGTATGCAAGTCATATAGTTATTAACCACCTTCATATAGTTATTAACCACCTATACATTGTTCCAGTCATTTATACTAGCTGAAGTCTAGAGCTTGGACCCCAAGCTGTAGTTTGCAAGCTGATTTCATCTTACATATGTCTTCAGAGTTTTAGCACACCTATGTCATTTTTGATTATAATGTAAACAATTGGGATGCATAACTGTCTGCAAAAAATAAATACAATGAATTCTATGCTCAAAAGATGCACAAACCATCTGAAACAGTGCTAAACTTACCTCTTTTACATCTTCAAAACCTATAGGCATAACATTTTCATTGTCAATGTATTTGTTCCATTCAGAAAGATAGTTGAAATAAGATCCCCATGGCACTGTATAAAAGAGAAGCATTTATACTAATTTATAATTCATATTCAGTTATAAGAATATTTATATCAATTAAAATAATTACATAATGACATTTTTAAAGACCAATTGCATGCTTTCCAATCTAGAATCCTTGTAGTAACTACAGAAAGGATTCTCTTTCAGGTAAAACCATGACCTTGGTCTACATGAAAAAGGCTTTACATGTGAATATCTCTTTAACACCTAGACAATAAGACAATTAGTCCAGCTCAGTGCACTAAGAAATAACTATGTTCATTTGATTTTCTGGATACTTTGCTTTGGAAATAAGTATTATTCCTCAGTCACATAATAGAGATACAGATACTTGTGCTTCAGTTGAACTTTTATTATCATTGTTGTTTTCACTGCTTCCTCAGCCAAAATCATGCTATTATTAATGTTAGCAAATTCCTTGTAAATTCCTTAGTGACTCTACAATTTTTCTGTATGTCTTCACTGTCCTATATTCCTAATGACTTCAGACATATATTACAATATTTAACAAATGTACAAATATCATCCTTCCCAGTGTCGAATAGCTCAGCAACCTAGATAAGCTGACATAACAGGAGACCGAGCTTGGCACATTCTGCAAACTATGTTATTTTCTTGCGCTTTTGAAATGGTGAGTTAATAATTTGGACTGGAATTTTAACATAATATGTGTTACATAAACTAAGAACTTCCATACTAAACGCAAGAGTAGCCATAAGCTCTTAATTCATCTTAAAAGTATCTAAGTAGCTCATCGTCTTTTGCTGCAGGATGTTGTGCTGAGAGTTCACCAGTGTTCAAAGGACAGTATCTAAGATTATGGAAAAGACATTTGTATTTGTTAAATACAAATATTTCCAGGTTCAGAAGGTCCTGAAGACACAAATTGTTGGAGAATGAGAAGCTTATCTGAGGAATTACTATTGTTTGTTCACTCTTCCAACACTCTTCTCCAGTTATTTTCTGTTGGCCATTTCAGTTCATAGGACACATAGCTAAACGCACCCTTAGTCTGTTCCAGAAGGGGACATTAGGTTTTCTTATCCTGCAGGGAACTTGGACTCATGTCAAAGGTGTCTGTCCAAAATCAATATTTATCTTGTAATTGATAGATAAAACGTCTGACCTAAAACATGACTTTAGCTTCAGCATACATTTATATTATGAAATATTTGTCTAAAGTACACAGCTAAGCTTTCTTGCTTGGGTTGCAGTTGGTGAAAGGGTCAGTTTTCAACTTTTATTTCACTGTTCTGTTTGCTTAGCTCGCAATTACACTAAAAAAATAGAGTTATATCCTAGTCTATGTGTATGCCCTGTTGTGTCTGTGAATGTGGTTTCATATTATTATTTATTGTATGAAGAATGGATCATGTCAATACTGTCAATTAACCCAAACCCTTTCAGGCTGAGAACTTGACCTGTTGACAAGGCCATATTTATAAGAGAACTTGAGTGAAAATTATCTTGCCACTTTGGAGTATGAGGAAAATGGTTGGGAAAATAGTTTTGTCCCTCCTTACTATGGGATCATTGTGATTATGTCTGAATTACAAGTCATGGCTCAAGCCTTGCTCTAGTCAGACCTTTAACACGCATAGTATAAACCACATGAGTCTAGTTCAGTCTCCATTCTCAAAATGAGAAGATAGCATAACAATTTTCCTCTACAGGAGATGTAATAATTACTTACAATATAGATGACAAAATATTACCAGAATGCAAAAAAGCAGCTACTATCAGCCCACGGTTGCCTTACCTATATAGCTAAAATATAGATGATAAAATATTAACAGAATGGAAAAAAGCAGCTACTATCAGCCCACTGTTGCCTCATCTGTATAGCTACATAAGACGAAATAAGTTACTGGGGTAGGGAGCAGAAATTTGACTTCATTATTTGGCATGAAACACAGAGCATTACATAAAAGCACAGATAACAACTGGCTAAAGTAGCAACAAGGAGCAGCCCTGTCTTCTGCCTTGCTGAGCCCAGAGTTGCACACAACTCAGAAGTGAAATATCCCATCATGCGACTGCTTTTTTACATCCAAAAGGAAGTCTTTATTTCAACATTTTGGCTACTGAAATAGCCAGCTAAAAGCAATAAGGGAGCAGTGAACCAGTTTTGCTATGACAGATATTTAAGTACATGCAGTACAGGAGAATTTGTCCAACTTTGTCTGGTCTTGATTCTGTATCCCAGAATCACAGAATAGTTGGAATGTCAGGGGTCTTTGGAGATCGTCCAGTCTAACCTTCCTGCTCAGAGCAGGTTCACCTAGAGCAGGTTGCTCTGGACTGGGTCAAGTCAGGTTCTGAATATCTCTGAAGGCAGGGAATCCACAACCTCTCTGGACAACTTGCTCCAGCATTTGACTACGCTCACAGTAAACTTTTTATATGACAATCAGGGAAGCACATTCATGAAAACTTTGCATAGAATCTTCTGTTTCAATTCCAAAGAATACAAAATAGTAGTTTTGTAGTTTTCAAATGAAAAATGAAACTACAATGCTGTTATTGAAGGAAAGCAAATATTTGAAGGCTAACCAGTAGCTGCTAATTGTTGTACCAAAGGGTAAATGTACTGAACATCATTTAGCCAAAATAAGAAAAAAAAATCTACAAATAAATTTAGAGTAAAAATACCTAAAGAAAATGTGCACAGAAGCATTGATGGAAGTGTGTTTCAATAGCTGCATGTTTAGCTTCATGTTCCACATTAAAATTCATATTTTATTATTATTTTCCTCTCAATTTAATACTTCTTGATTGGTATTCCATATTTCGACCATTTCTTTATTCTGCGAATCAGTAAAACATTTTTTCCCAGTTACTAATGTTGCTTTCAAATAAACATATATTTTACTTGCAGATTGTTTTGTTTCGTTTTGCTTTGTTTTGTTTTGTTTCGTTTTGTATTCAATTCACACGTTAAGAAGCATGCAATTTAATTTGAGATCATCAATTTTTCAGAATGGATTGCATTAATGAAGGCCCACAGTTCAGAACTTCCCCAAACTTCAATTACATTTCATAGGCTTTGATGCAGATCCTTCTAAAGAATATTACTTTGTTCCAATCTTATTTTTATTCATTGTCAATATCTTTTAAACAGGCATCAGTAAGAGTCAGATAGTGAGGTTATTTTGACTACTAACTAAATGTTTTCTTTAAATTAAATTCTTCCCTCATCTATCATCAACAATGAGATCATATGCTTAAAATCAACCAGTTTATGTGGTTTAATACTCCCCACCTGCTCATCCACAATATTCTCGCATGTCTCAACCTAATACCAGATCTGGCCATTTCCAAGACCACATGATATATATAAAACATATCTTAAATACCATATGACGAACATTATCTTATTGCCAAGGAAGGCTTAGTGACACAATTCACTTTAGATGGACTTGAACATTAGAAATGTCTTTGACAAAGTGATGGGAAATGCAGATATGCTTCCAGTTACGGGAAATTCGGATATCCTTCCCTAAGCATTTCAAAGTGATTTGAATGCCCTCATTTGATATCCCTTCTTTCATAACTGGTTAAACAAAAGCTCACAAAAATTAATCAGACAGAACCTCAGAAATGCTGAGCATACAGAGTTTTTGTTTTCTTCAGTGGAAATCACAGAGTGTCAGCACAGTTCTCGTGAATGTCTTGTGAGTATCAGGATTTTGGCAAAGCTGGTACCACCTTATGACATTGTACAAAATCCTGTCCAATCACCTGCTTGTCCATTATCTGTAATTCAGACTCAGAGCAGACATCTAGGACAGACACGGCAGGAAGGAAGAAGTAGAATAGGGACAGCAAAGCAACTTCTTCATAAAAGTTTTGTTACCAATAAAGACAGGTATATTAATTCCTGGGTTATATTTTCTTCTTTCTAACCAAAGACTGGAACCTCTGCAGACAGAAGGATGCAAGTTAGTAAGATCTTACCGAGTAAAACTGCAGACAATACTCATAGGCTGCATCCTCAAGCCCTGTGCAATGAATTTAAACTTCTGAGGGCTTCCCTTGCTGACAGGATTCCTTAGTTCTATTCCTGTCCTTCCTAGATGGATTTTTGCAAACTGGACTCTGATCCACTGACTGGAACAAAACATTTGCTAAAGGTAGACAAACAAGAGGCAGATCTAGCTTTTTAGCTTTTTGGTGGTTGCTTTTTTTTTTTTTTTCTGTGCTGGGAAGAGGGAGAATTGCACTTACCCCAGCAATGATTTGTTGGATGATCTGTTTCCGTTTTTTTGCTTGCTTTGAAGTCTAAAGGTAAATTGTATAAATACATCTGTCTGATGAACACAGGGAAATACATACAAAATCTACTTGCAGTGCCTTATTATTTATGTTCTTGTTATCTATGCTCTTGTTAATACTCTTGTTTTCTCTTCCATTCTCCCTAATTTGTAGTTTCCACAGAATTTATTTACTCATGTATCATTTTCTTGGCGTTCTATCATTTGATTCATTTCACCAAGCAACATTCATTGCATTTTTTCCAAAACAATGACTAAGTGAATGGCAATTAATCTTTACAATTTACCTTATTTTAATAACAAGTGAAACAATACCGATTGCAATAACTTAGAACTTACCTGGATGTCCCAATTCAATATATGAATATTCTATCTTTTTTTCAGCAGCACATTTCACTTTTTAGTTGTTTCCTCTTCATTTTCCTTTGCATTTAGTGTAACTAATCATACAATATATGGAAGATTCAATTATTCTATGAAATTATTCTGTGAACTGAAAAACCTTGTGCTAAATTTTTTGAAGAGGATTATTGAAAGAGAAAATAAATTTTTCTGGTATTTTTCTAATTAATGATCTATGGGAAAAAAAAAGAAAAAAAGGAAGAAAGAAAGAAATAGCAACAGAATTAGAAATGTAGAACCAGTAACAGGGAAAAAAAAGCCTGGAACATATAATTTCAAGCATTCTCAAAAATAAACATTCAAGCAAGAAGAAAAACTAGTTTCATATACCTCATAAGTCTATA